TTTTTTTCTTTACTATTTTTCTATTTTTTCTTTTCTGCACCTTCTATTTTTCATTTTTCTTTTTTTCTTTTTTTAGTTTGTATTAGTTTGTATTGTTGTAATTGCAATTCTTAATAAAATTACTATAAAAAAATGTTGGCAGGTTATATGGACCGTGACTCAGTGCAATAGAAGTGTTTAGAAATATTTCAGAGGTTATATTTAGAAGTTAGCAGAAATATATACAATTTCTGAGTTCAAGAATTTTCACTGGATTTGTACATGCTTCTCATAATGATACGTGGAAACAATACTGTAATATTGGAAACTCCATTAGAGCATTAAAGGTTAATCTTTAGGATGGCACCACCCACAAATTGTCTTTTGTGATAGCCTATAGGAACTTGTGACATAAAATACAAGTTCCTATTTTTATTCTTCTTTTAATAACATAGTAACCTGAAAATATGGTGTAAAGAAAGTTCTATATCATGTTTAGATTTAAGGTTTATATCATTCTTATATCCTTTTTATAGCAAAAACACAATGTAGGCTAAGGATTACCTTCAACAATTAGGACTTTTAAAGAAAGAATCGCAACTATGGGTTCATTAATTAGTGAAAAGCTTCACTGTGAACTTGAATAGAATTGTCTTAAAGATGAGACAGTCATTCTTTCTAAGTTAACAGACACATTTAGAATCTTGAAGTACAGGTAGTCCTTGCTTACTGACAGTAATTGGGACCAGGAACTCTGTCTCTAAGTGATGCAGTCGTAAGGCACAGCATTATGTGATCATGCTGACTTACGATGGCAGTTCCAGCAGTCCCGGTAGCTGTCGTTAGGTGAATCCCACACAGTCACAGTGTCTTGCGGTCATGTGATTGCTATTTTTGACCTCCTGCCAGCTTCCCCATTGACTTTGTTTGTCAGAAGCTGGCAGTGAAGGTTGCAAATGGTGATCATGTGAGTGAGAGACGCTGCAATGTTGCAATTGCGAGCTGTTCGCTGAGCCCCCAAATTGCAATCACGTGACTGTGGGAACGCTGCAATGGCCACAACTACGAGAGCCTGTTGTAAGTAGTGCTGTCGTAATTTTGAATGGTCACTGAACAAGTGGATTTTAAATGAGGACTATCTGTATGTCCTGGTGTTCACACAAAATGATTACATAATGGATATAACCAGCCAGAAACCACCCACTTACAAAAAGGCCTGGAGTGTAGGAGTTGTTCTGGGGCTGAGATAAAGTGAATGACTGAAATCAAGAATTGAGATAGGTTTTGTATACATTTATCAATCTTGGAAGTTTATCAGAATTGGAACTCCTACCAAGATGTAATTCAGGGATGATAGAATGCATGGGAGACTAAGAGATAACTTGTGTTCATATTGATACCCATGACATCCATATTACCCTGTTTAAAGTGCTAGAAAGTATGTTAAGTGGACATGTTTTCCATACCTTGCTATGGTTGTTTCTTTCTGGGCTGCTCAACTTTGTTATGCTCTGTTGTTCTGTTTTTAATTGCATTTTAGATGTTGTAAGCCACCCAGACTCTTTTGGGGTGGGATGGCTATAATAAATCTAATGATAGATAGATAGATTGTTTGATAGATAGACCAGTCAAGGGGGACTCACCATTTTTAAAACCCTGATCAATGTCACCCATCTGTTTAGTACATCTCTCTCTATAATGCTGCCCAGAATAAATGCCTCCTGGATATTTCTGCTGTGACTGTTGTTTTCTATCTCCTTTGTCAGCCACTGACCCAACATTTCAAAGTGTATTTAATTAAGAATGAATGCGAGTTGCATGGAAGTATTGGGCTGTGATCCTTCATGTAACTATTTATTTCTGTTGGAGTTAGTTTATTTGGTTTAGAGTAGGTACATTTGGGAATACAGTGGAACCTCGGGTTATGAACGCTTCTGTTCACGAACTTTTCGGGTGACGACCAGCTCTGGCCGCAAAATTTTGCTTCGGTTCGTGAACTCCGCCTCGGGTTACGAACAGGATACGTGGCCATTTCCCCTGCTGACACGCGGTCGCGGCTTCCTGTGGGCAAGATCGC